GGGGGTCCAGGCAGAGTAGAGTGCTGGGCTTCGCGGCTGCGTGAACTTGAACCGTGGCGAAGGGAACCCTGACTTAGCACGTGCGGACGCAGCCCGTTTCACCCAGCAGCGCCCGGGGGCCTAAGCAAGCTCCCCCTCCCGTGCAGGGCAGCCCGGGGCGGGGGTTACACCTTGCATGATCCAAGATGTGCGTTTGGCTTGACCCGGGTGTTGTGTCAAGCCAGGCAACTCTTTATTCATCAAACCATGGTAAAACCACAATCTAACTGGGTTTACTTATAGGATCAGTATTTCAGGTAGGGTAGTAATCTGGAGTAAAAGGCAGCCTAGGTTGGTACTTATCGTGGATTCTGCATTCCCCTTGCGCCCAGTTTGAAGCAAAACATAATTGTCATTGCTGTAATCTGTTCTCTTGGGATTTGGTCTCACTGGAGAGCTCTGGGCTGTTCTGCCTCTGAAAGGCTAAAGATAGCATGAATTTCAACATAATCACGAGCCAGGAAGGATGATCTTTGGGGAGGGCCACAGAATCCGTATCAAGGAAAGCTGAATTGCCAACTGAATTTGGAATCGGAAGTCACAGCTAAGGCAAGCCTGGCTGTCTGTGAGGCGAGTTAGTGGCCTGTCTCACACAACATGCTAAAACATCATTGGTTTGCTTGGTTTGGGGTTAATGTACTGTGTGAAGTTGGCTACTATGGTTTGTAAAGCATTTAGATCTGGATTTTCAGATCTGGCCACTAGCTTAGTTGTGAACCCATTTAATTCCAGCTGCGAATTCAGATGCTAGTTTCTTTGTCCAAGATACTTCCATCTGGAGCTGGGAACTCATATATCAACCCTAAGAATAGAATAACTGCTGTTGGAACCATGGCCTTGTTTTATGGTGTTTCTTTTGAGTATTCTGTGTGTAAATGGAGCCTCAAAGAAAAGAGATTTTCATGGCAAAGATTACATTCATACACCTCCAAAGCCCAGATATGATATGTAAAATAATCCATGACTGAGGTTATATAGGCTAATATGTGATTAGGTTCAGTGAGTCAAAAACTAATCAGGCAGTTGAATTATTTCTGGAAAGCTGAATTAGTTTGTTATATGAATACAATTGTTTTATTGAGTCATTGAGGTTGTTGGAGATTTAATTTCCCATCCTGCTATGCAAATCAACTTGGTTAGCTTCAAGTTAATGTGAATGCAGTATGCAGCCATGGTTAAGCAGAGAAATCATTCTTTTGCTTCCTTCTTAAGTGTAGTTGAGAGAAGATCCCTTATATCAGAATCTGGTCTTGGGTGGAACGGTTGCCTACTTCTCTACCATAGAGGAAGTGGGCAGCCTGCATGTGGCCTTGAACCTCCAAGTGTTCATCACATACAGGTAGTCCCTGGGTTAAGAACACCTGGTTTAAGGACGACCCTTAGAACAGAGCCTATTGTAGCAAAATTCGGGTTAAATACACAATGATTCGAGTTAAATACACAATGGTTTCAGTTATACACAATACTACTTATACATACAAATTTGACTTAAGGACAGACCTTGAGAATGGAACTCATTCTTAAACTGAGGAGTACCTGTAATTTTAAGCCATTCCAGTATTGATTTTTAAAAAAATATGGTTCCTGGTTGCCAAAAAGTTGCATGCCCCATGCTCAATCATTTCCTGCCATGTGGATTTGTTGATTATATGCCAATGTGTATGTAACATTTTCTGTTCTGTAGTACTGTTTCTCTTAATGGGAAAAGTGGGAAGAAACAAGAATTATGCTGCTTAGTTGTATAATTCTTCTTGATCACCTAATGCTTCTTCTGAGTGGTTAGTGAAGTATTCCTCATATAGGCTTGAAAATATAAAACAGCCTTCGTAGTCTGATAAATTAAAAGATTGCTTTAACAAGTAAGTGCTTTTTATTTTTTGTACATTTCTTTCTATGCTACTTGCTATGTTTCTGTTGCTGCCAATTCCTTTTTTAAGATTCTTTCTGGAAATCTTTATTTTAAAATTTAAACATGAGGTTTAATGTGAATGTTCAAGTCTCTGTATACCTCTCACTGAGGTGAATGAGGTGTGACACGTTCTTACATTCTTGTTTATCTGTTTTGAAGAGAGATTATACAAGGATAGAATTAGTTTAGTCATTTGACAATTAGTTTAAACAGAAAAGATATCTGATTGTACATTATTATTTTGCATGTGGCATCTGCAAGAATAGAAATCTTCTTTTGCAATTATTGTTGTGAATTGTCTAAAAATAGCATTGCATCTTGGGTTAATTGGATTAAGGGCATTGGATCTTAGATTGATTTCATCCTTTACCTAGGAGTGCTGATATGCAGGACAATGTATAATGAAATCCTTAGAATTTCATACTGTACCAATAGCAGTATTAAACTGATTAAACAAAACAATATCTAGCTATTTTCACAGTGACCTGGGCATCTATTTTTTAGCTACTGCAGTGTTACTTCCATGATGGCTAAAAGTGAATTGATTCCATCAGTGTGGAATTAATTTCTACTGTAGTTGCACCAAAAATTAAAGCAAGGGATTCAGAAAAGTATAGAATATGCCGCCTTTTCTTAGTACATTCATGTAATTCCTTTTATCTCAGAAACAGAATAGTGGGTATGGCAAGATGGTTTCCACACTTAACCCCTTAAACAACATTGTCGCAGTCTAACTTCTTCAGAGGACATTGTGAGGCTCATATTCCTACACTAGGAGCTTCCAGTTGTGTATGACATAGTGATTAGAATTACTGGAAGAAATCTAATAATTAAGATGTAGGAATGA